GTCGCAGTCGTAGTCGTAGTCGTAGTCGTAGTAGTAGTCGTAGTCGTAGTCGTAGTCGCAGTCGCAGTCGTAGTAGTAGTAGTAGTAGTAGTAGTAGTAGCAGCAGCAGCAGCAGCAGCAGTAGGCGCAGCAGCAGCAAGCAGACAGGTTTCAGCACCGCAGGCAGACCACCGAGTCCTTGCCGTTTGTTCAAGTGTGTGTGTGTGTGTGTGTGTTTTTCGCGGACAGGTGGAGCGCCTGCATATACATTTGGCTCGCTTAAGTTGACCAATCCGTTCCATGGTCTACGTATTCAAAGCCACAATGCCAAGAACACAGCCCCCTAGAATCAGAACATGCCGCTCATCATGCGGTCTTAGTCAGATCAAGGTCCATGTCACGTAGGCGTGGGCGCCGTCGTTTCCAGAGTTAAACTGCCGTTAGTTGTTCGAACAGCTTGTTTTCAATGCTGCCATGCCGCTGGTCATGCCTGCACATCGTAAACCCTATACGGTGGAGGAGGCCGGAAGAATCAACCAAGGTATTGCGCGGTCTTGGAATCCTGTTGAAAGCTTTCTTTTGCCGAAGTTGGAGCATCTTGCCTCGACATGAGCTTTTGTGATTGGAACACAAGCTAAATGATGTCCAGGTTATCAAGCACAACACTCCCTCCTCGTTGTGGGTCATAATGAATCGAAAGGCGCGGACGGCACGAGCATGATGTTGGCCTTTGCCTTGCCGATGTGGTATGAGCATGCACTGCATGGTGATTCCTGTCGCGACGTGTCTGTGGCACAGGTGTATGATGTGACGAACTTCCACAAGAAGCATCCCGGTGGACCAGGCTGGGAAGCATACGCTCACGGAAAGTTTGCCAATGGTACCTGTCGAGATGCGAAGCAATTGGCCAGGTGTGTTGCTGCAGATGGGTGGCAAGGCCTGACATCGATTGGATGTGCCCGTCGTGTGCATTTGCCTATGGGCCTGCGTGCCGGCTCAGGATGCAACTGCAGCAGCAGCTGCTGCTCACAAGAGCATACTGCCTGCAAACCTGATGTGGGAGTTTTGCATCGGGTACATTGTCAGGCCTGTGTTGTCCAGCCATAGACGACTGTTCGTGCAAGCGGTTTTCGCAGAAGTTTGACAGGACAAAACCACAGGAGGGGGCAGTGGCGCCGCCTCCTGAAAGCAAGACTCCGGTACAGAAGAAGGCAGCTTGCGTGAATTCTCACTCGGCCATGGGAGCTTGGCGGATTGCATCCTGTGGATGCAGTCAGTGGTTTCACAACACTCCACAGATGATATACTATATATATATATATA